ATCGTAATAATTCGATTCACCATACAAAATCAACTAATTTAGACCTTTATGACCTTAGATACAATAATCAACACGAGATAGGAGTTGAAAAGGATGAAGATGAGGCATTCTCTGCAGAAATAAGAGATGAAATTGGCGCATATAATGTTGGATATTGTTATCAAAATGGAATTGAAGTTGAAAAGGATGAATATAAGGCATTCATTTATTATCAAAAATCCGCAGAGATGGGAGACGCTAATGGAGCATATAATGTTGGACGTTGCTATGAAAACGGAATTGGAGTCGAAAAGGATGAACATAAGGCTTTCATTTATTATCGAAAATCAGCAGATATGGGAGATGTCAAAGGAACATTTCAGGTTGGATGTTGTTATGATAAAGGGATAGGAGTTGAAAAGAATGAAAATAAGGCATTTATTTATTATCAAAAATCTGCTGATATGGGCGATTGGAATGGAATGTTTGGAGTTGGACATTGCTATCGAAATGGAATTGGAGTTGAAAAGGATGAACATAAGGCATTCACTTATTATCAAAAATCTGCAGAGATGGGAAGCGCTAATGGAATATATGGTGTTGGATATTGTTACGAAAAAGGAATTGGAGTTGTAAAGGACGAACACAAGGCATTTACTCATTATCAAATATCTGCAGCGGTGGGGGATGCAAATGGAACATATGGTGTTGGATATTGTTACGAAAAAGGAATTGGAGTTGAAAAGGATGAATATGAGGCATTCATTTATTATCAAACATCTGCAGGGATGGGGGATGCAAATGGAATGCATGCAATTGGTTTCTGTTATAGTAACGGAATTGGTGTTGAAAAGGATAAAAACGAAGCATTCAAATGGTACATGAAATCCGCAAAGATGGGTAATACCAATGGAATACGTGATGTATATTTATGTTATTTACTTGGAACCGGAGTAACTAGAGATTTACAACTAGCTAATCATTGGCATCGGATGTAAGTGTCATTTAAATAAATATATTTATATTTGACACAAGTTTACTAAATTATATAAATAGGGGACGAAACAAATTTACGTTAAACGATTTAAATGATGATTTAAAAGAAATATTGAACGATGAGAAACATCATCAATTATTATGGATTCCATACAATGAATTCAAGAATGTCCAAGAAGTTGGTAAAGGTGGATTTTCAACAGTATATCGTGCTGATTGGTCCCGCAACCTTTTCAAAAAATCGAAAATTGCTCTTAAATCGTTACGTAAAACAAATTATGATGAATTTTTAAATGAGGTAATTTTATTATTATTATACTTTTCAATTGATTATGTGACTAATTTATTTCATTAGTTAAAAGCATATAGTAAAATCGGATACGAAAATCCTTCATTTCTAAAATGTCATGGAATAACACAACGACCGGACAATAATGAATATATTCTTATCTTAAAATATGCATCAAAAGGCTCTTTACGAGATAATCTTCAAGATGTGTCTCGAATGAAATGGAAAAATAAATTAAAATTATTAAAATATATAGTTTCTAACCTTAAAGCAATTCATTCTCAAGGATATATTCATCGAGATTTACATAGTGGAAACATTTTACAAGATGATTTACATAGCGCGTATATTTCCGATCTTGGACTATCAAATTCTTATTCCGAACAAACGAAAGACGGAATTTTTGGGATTCTGCCGTATATTGCTCCAGAAATTCTAATTGGTCAACCATATACTATGGCGTCTGATATTTATTCGTTTGGAATGATAATGTGGGAAATCTTATACGGAATGACTGTATCCTATGTTCATAAATTTACTGAACAACAGCTTCAATTAAAAATATGTTTTGATGATTTACGACCACCCATTAACGAAGAAGCTCCAGGATGTTATGTAAATCTGATGAAAGAATGTTGGGATAAAGAACCTAAAAAACGACCATCGGCCGAAAAACTTCATGAAACTTTTATGAAATGGCAAAAGGACGGAAATGTTTTGTTGGAATTGAATGATTCTATATTGAAACTTGAAAATATCGAAAAATCATATGGTGACACAGTTAGTAATGGAAGCATTTCTATCCCGTATAGCGAGTCAATTTTAGAGACCAACAAAGAATTCGAAAATCTGTCAATCAATAACTTTATCCCGAATAGCGAGCCAATTTCAGAGATCAACGAAGCATTACAAAATCTGTCAATCGAAAACTTTATCCCGAATAGCGAG